TTAGGCAAACTGTCTCTTAATGAAAGATAGGGCTGTAAAAAAGAAAAATATTTCATTGTTTCAACATTTTTCTCCTTTTAGGAAATGCCACATATGTAAAACAGAAAGAAACAAAGTCATTGGTTTTTTTTGTTGCATTTTTGTTTGTTTGTTTGTTTTTGTTTTAACAGAAAACACTTTCAATCCAGTCCAGAAATGATACTGAGAAGAGTTAAAGAAATTTGCTTGTGTAGCTACGGAATGAAGTGAGTGTCTCTGCCAAATGATGGGTGTTTCCAGGATACTGTGTCTCCAACCAGAAAGGGTTATTTCAAGGCATTTTTCTGGCAGCTTTTATTAATCTCCCTCTCTCTGAGCCAGAAGACAGGAAGATGTCAGACATCTGTGCTCTTGCACTGTTCCCGTTTTCCTATTCAGGACAAGGCTGTCCTCAGCCAGTGGGAGAGAACGTAAAGGAACTGGCAAAGCTCAAACATTTTGTCAAAGGGAGACACATTTGTAAAGTTAATCCTAGTGCTCTGTCCGGGTGCTCTCTTCCTGTTCCTCATAAAACAGCCATGAAGAAAACCAGTTTCAGTCTGTTCCCAGTGGAGAGAAGATCACAACAGCTGCCAGCTTTTCCAGTGCCTCCAGCTTGGGGTGCAGGCTGTGTCCATAGAGGGTGAAGAGGCATCAAAGAAGCCACCATCTCTGAGGGCAAAGTTGGCACTGGAGCCAGCACAGCCTCCCCAGCTCTCCTGGTGCTCCCATTTCCATGCTCTTTCTGTCCAGGCAGGGTGTCTCTCTGTCCCACTCACCAGACAAGTTCTGCTTTTCTCCAACAGCAGAAGCCTGTGGGCAGAGTGGCCAGAGTGTGCAGGCCCAGCTGGAGGGAGCCATGGGAGCTCCCCACCAGGGAGGAGTTGAGCCTTCTGCCATGCTCCTCTGCAGCTCCATCTTCTGTCAGCTCTGCCTGGCTCAGGCCAGCCTGAAGTCCTACCTAATCCAGTCTGGAATGCTGCTGTCAAGCACTATGGGAGAATCTGGTTCAGACATCAAGGGCTACAGTCCCTATAGGTGTGCCCAGAAAGGAGGAGAGCAAAGAATTGAAAAGGAGTGAAGAACAAGTGGGAAATAAACACAACATTTCTGCTGAGGACCTGCAAGCCCTACATCTCTCCTTTTCTCTACTTGCTTTTGCATCTCATTAAGTTACTTAAGCAAATACGTGAATTCTCCTGGGAAGAAAAGATCAGCCAGCTGGAACTCTGTGGTATCAGTCCCCATCCAGCAGGAAGTGGGGAGAAAATAAGTAACATTTAGGAACCATTAATGCTGCGGTCTAGCTCATCAGCCCCCATTCAGCAAGATAGGAAATGGGTGGTTAATATCTCCCCTCTGGGCCAGTCCTTCATCTTCCCCAGCTGTGTCTTTTGTGTCCTAATTTCAAGCAGCCAGACCATGAAATATCTTTCACGTTTTGCAAAGGATAAGAAAGATTTGGAACCCCTCCCTTGGAGCACAGAGAGTTGTGAAGAGTGGCAAACTTCATGGTGATGTGAAGAAACATCCCAGCTCTTGATGTTTGTCTTCAAACTCAGGCATTTAAGCATGCCTGAGAGTTTAAATTCTTCAATTTGATTACACAGAGGTGAAAACTCAAGCTGTAGTGTTGCCTGTTATTAGAGAGCTCATGGCAGTGGAGTGGGAAATGCCAGTGACCTGAAACTCCACAGTGGTGGCTTAAAACTCTTAGACAAGTGCCCTCTCAGTGATAAATAACTCTGCTGATCCAGGAGCAACCTGGAAATACCTGAGGGAAGAGGAAGAACAGCACAAGAGGGAGGCTTGTCCTGGGCAGACCAGCCAGAGGAGGTGGCTCAGTTTGCTTCATTGCTCAATTTGTTGCTCAAATCCAGAGCTGGGAGGCAGCTCAGAGAGCAGTTCACAGCTCCAGGATTGGATGTCTCCAGAGTGCTCCAAGACTGGCTATCTCCAGAGCTGGGGCAAGGAGCAGCAGGGAGATAAGGCTCTGACTAGTGCTAGCTGCAGCTGAAGAAGCTGCTCTTGGTGCTATTAAAATGCCCCCTTATTATGCCTGGGCATATTTGTGTGTATGGACGTATGTATAGAAACTTGTGACAGTTCTGAAAATATCCTAGGTGGACATGTATGCTGTTCTTTCCATAAGAGCTTTACTTACCTCTATCTGTTCAGAGGAAAAGCATGACCCAGCATGCAGATCTCAGTCTTTCTGGGAAAGATGTTCTTGCTTGAAGCAATTTTATGTGCAAGGACTGGTGTTTTCCAGTGACTGCTATAACACAGCTGCTTTGCAGGGTCAGGGTCTGCTGACCTCTGCGATTTGTTGCATAGCAATGAACAGTGCTGCATACTGAAAACAGCACAGATAATACTCTTCTGTCTGGCAACATCATTTAGGAATATTTTCATAACTCTATTGCTTTAGATATTTAAAGTTATGAAGAATTGACCTAGACCTGCTAGTTTATTTAACTGTGCTGCACTCATTCAAAGTTCAGTTTTTTCTCCTTTCAAAGGCATAGGAACAAAGATAAACATCTGTCCATCATAGCAATATTATGGCAAATCTTTAAAATAATTATACTGCAAGCAAAAATAGATTCCTGGAGAAAATAAAATTGCTTTATTTAAAATTAAATGGCTACAGCTCAGTATGAATGTTAAAATTATTAATCATGTCTTCTTCAGTGCCTTCTCTCTCCCAGTTCTTCAAAACACAGCTATCACTCATTACAGAGTGGAAACTTGGACAGCATTTCTTGTGACTCCATGTTCATCTCATCCCTAAAAGGTGCAGTTGAATCTCACAGCCCTTTCATATACTACTGATTCCAAAAAAGTCTGACACACACTGTTCACTTGGAAAACAGCTTGTCTTTTTCCTGCTGTGATCATAGCTATCTCAAATAAATGCAAAACTGCTCAATTATGGCTGTGTGGTTACAGTCTAGTGGAATAACTGTGGCCCATGAATAGGAAAAACTTCTTCAGATAACAAAGCAGTATTTGAGTTCTAATTGTTTTATTCCCTCAGCTATAGACCTGGGTACAACTTTTAGTAGCCTCAAACCCCAATGGGGAAGGATTCCTCTTTATGGTTTTAGTTTTACTGAATGTCAGTAAAACTTGACAATACTTACTTGATGTGCTGCTACTGTCTGTAGTTTGGTCTGTACAAAAAATGTAAACATTTATGTCGAATCATGAGTTAGTCCCCAAACATGCATATATTTATATTCCTATTATCTGAAAATAGCAGCTGTGAGCCAAAGTGCCTATGTAAAATCCTGCTGCAGCACAGAGGACCACAGCTGTGGCACACACCAACTGCAAAGCTGCAAAGCTGGGCTCTTCCCTGGAATCCAGAAAAAAACAGGAAGGGTGGCACTGAAACTGTTGGCCATACCCAGACATAAAACCAAGCTTTCACATCAGACCTTTACATCCTTACCCTGGGGACTTTACCAGCTGAGGGAAAGGTACCACAGCCATATATGCATTGCATCAAGAGGAAATGTCATATCCTGTGCTTGTTCAAGAGTTCCTAAACATTCTTGCCTATACTGTACATACATAATTCCTTGTTAGAGTAATGCACTATGCATAGTATTTTTCATACATACATCTCAATTTTTTGAGCTCTGTAACAGTTCTCCAAAGTCCAGCTGCAAATCCTGAAGCCTGTGAGGCAACTTGATGTTCCTAGCTCAGCACTAAAGCTGTGTATATGTGTGCTGGGCATGAATACGTGGTATGTACATATCCCTTCCCTCAAGGCCCCCAGATGTGTACTAGCCTTCAGACAGGTCACAGACACAAAGTCTGCAGAAATGAGACACAGGATGTCTCTGTCCATCCTGCCTGTTCTGCAGGTGGGCAGTCACCTCATTGCTCAGGCCCCACAGCACAGCAGGGGCAGAGCCCGGAACAGATCACCGAGATCTTTGGCTGCCTTTCCTGGCTGTGCCGAGCACTAGGTCTTGCTGCAGCATAGGGCGAGGTTCAGCCAGGAATGCATGGAGGAGGCTCCCAGGGAACAAAACTGGTTCCTTTGTGCTCTGGGAGGACGTACAAGCTCAGGCAGATGTAGGTGCAGTACAAGAACTGCCCTAAATCACAGTGACTTGCTACAGGTGTCTTTGCAGAGCCCTGTGTTCTTGCTCCCTGAACAGGAGCGGCACAGGGAATATTAACCAGTCACTGCTTAATTCTACCATTATGTGTGTTCTTGTGGGATAGAGGGAAGGGAGAAAATGACTGGATAGCCAGTTCAGAGGTCACTGAGAGCTTAGAAAATCAGCTTCTTTCTGACCTGTTTTACCACTGAAGGGAGGCAAAAGGGCTGGTGCAAGATAAGCATCCAGAGGCCTTTTCTCAGGCTACTGTTTCCTCTGCCAGCCCAAACAGGGCAGATGACTGTCATGCCTGTGACAGCCACCTGCCTGAACAGAGACAATTCTCAGCACATAATTCAGTGTTGTGTTTTCACTTGTGTCCTCTGTGAGTATTTTTCTTGTAAAATATTAGCCAGATTTATTCTCTGTCTGTCATGCTGTCATGCACACAAAGTCAATCTGTTGACTGTAGAATTAATTAATCTGCATTTTTCCATTAATTTCTATATTTTACATAAGCCTAAGATTCAGCTCACTGGTGAGGAAATGCTGTCAGATACTGACTTTCACTGCAAGGGTGCTGACGGTCCTGATGCTGGGTGGGATGAATAGTGACAGTTTAGACAACTCATCTTTGAAACATAGGGAAGTCTGTCTTGCCCAACCAGTCCAAAACATGATGGGGAGTAATAATATAAAAATTAATCTTCTAAAAAAGAAAGAATGTATTGAGGAGGGTACTTGAGGATTGTAGTTGTTTTTTGATTAAATTGTTATTATTTTTTCTGTTTTGTTTTTACAACTGGATTGATGCTAAGCAGATTGTGGTCTATCCTCTCCTGTTCTAGCTTTATAATTCAGCCTACACCATCTCAATTCTGTGTCTTCAAGGATTCAAGTAATTACAATGACCATGCAAGTGTTCTCCCCTCTCCACAGAAGAAGGTATTTCTGCAGTACAGGATCTTGTTTCAGTAGGTGTTTTGGATTTGGGGTTTTTTGCCTGTTACTTTGGTTTAGATTGAGGAAGAGGTTCTTCTTCAATTCAGTACATGCAGACCAGGACCTCAACTCCACAGGAAGAGGGTGTATAAAATAGCAAATGACAGCTCTATCTGTCCTTGAGAGGGTCACCAGCACCATATTGGTCTCCTGTTTCTCCCACTGGATGCCACTGGGCAGGGCCGCCCCATCATTCCTACAAAAAGCCACCATCCCACAGTGATCAGCAGCCCCAGGCCTGGGGGTGCAGCAGCTGTAGCACAGCTGAGCCACCCATGCCGCTCATGGGGCACAGTGAGCACATTCAGGACAATTAATTTTCCAAGAAACATGGTAATTAACATGTTTCCATCCAAGTACACAGAGGTGCTGGGAGGCCATTAACTTTGACAAGTATGGTATTTCTTTCTCTAAATGCCTCTTAGCCAGTGTGTCAGTTGGAGATGTCCCAGTTAGGACAGCTCCATGCCCTTCTCTAAGTGTCTGTCCTCACTTTATTTCAGACTAAATACATTCTGCAGTGGATATGTGCCCTTCCTAAGTGGAAGATCGTGTTCATTTTAATGGCTCCACTCCCTTGAATAAGGACAAGACAAAAGTTGGCTGGATCAACTGTTTGCCCTAACGCAGCCTGTTTCAGTATCCTTAAGCGCTGTAATGATTTTCTTTGGAAGCAGGAAGTATAAATTTAAATTAAGAACATAGCTTAAGGAGAAGCAAGATCTTTTAACACCCAGCACTGGAGTTTTACTTGAAGAATGTGCACTGAGAGAGTCAGAGTGGAACGATCTTTTTGTTCTCTTTGTACAGCACCTAAGGCAACACTGCCAAAGTCACAGAGAAGGCTCCTCAGCAACTAGTGCCCGGAGTCTGTGTCTGTGAAAGCAACTTTTCTCTTTTCTTGCTTCCATCCTTGTGCCTGGATTGGACTAGCAACCTGTATCATTTGTGTTTTCCATTTAGGCTAACCTCAAACATTTGGTTTCCCCTTGATTGGAAACAAGTGTGCTGAAGGCTGTCTGCTCGTTCTTCACTACACAATGTGGACTGCTGCCTGGCTCCTGTCTGGAAACAATTATTTCCCTCATGTACCTCCTGGTTCTGAACAGTCAAAGACTTATCCCTAGACTTTCTTTTCATTTTTGCACTTTTATTAGCCCTTTCCTTTATAAATACAACCTGTCATTATATGTAATGCCCACAGAACAGCTCCAGCTCTGTTACTTGACAAAATTGCTGCCACATTTTAAGGCTGGGTTGCTTGAGGGAGTTTTGTATCTGTAAATGTGCTATAGCAAATTCACCATGCCTTTGTCTGTTTGGATAGGATGAATTTTTGATGGTGTTTGAATTTGTGAGACGTTAAGAAAGGGTGGGACTTTAAGCACACATTATGGTTACAGTGGTGTAAATATTCTTCAACAACCCCAAAGAATGGTCAAAACATCCACACAGAGATGTGCAGTAATGCCTCCAAGTATTTGCAGATGTTATCAGAATAGCATAGTGCAGCTGTTTAAAAAAAGAACTTACCTGTTTATCTGCCTGAATTCCTGGATTTATTCTTTCTTTCAAATGTTCCTACTTTCTGACATGTATATGCAGACATAAGGGAATGTGAGCAACAGATGACCAGAATCTGCAGGTATTTGCACACGGGGGTAAGTTTATGCCATGAATAGTGCCATTATACTGAGCAAGATCCCTTTTCTCAGAAAGATTGATCTCATACTTCATTTCATGAAGACTAGTTCCTGACTAAGCCCAGACTGCGAGGAAACAAAGTGGAGTGGAAAGAGTCTATAAATTTCTTTTCCTGCGCTGAATTCAAAATAGCGTTTCTCTTACTGGAAAAACAAACAAGGTCATTTTGGGTGTCTCTGTCTGCCTGCCCGTGGGATGGATTGGTAGTCCACACCTTCTGCCAATTCGGAGACCTCTCTGCCCCCGTTTATGCTCTATAGGTTACGTCTTAATTACAAAAAAGCTGGTCTGCTGTGACATCAATTTCCCTCTCTAGGGGAAATTCCTAGCTGTGAAATCCTAGCAGAGCCAAATTGCTGTTCTTTTTTCTTTTTCTTTTTCTTTTTCTTTTTTTTTTATTTTTTCCTTTGGCCAGTCCAGATCAACCCCAAAATTGCCATCTCGGTTTGACCTTGACTACTGCTTTGAGAGTGAGTCGGAGAGCCTGCTCTCCTAAAGTGCTGACGTACAGACAACTATTTCCAATGAGTTATCTTGATACAGAACTCAGGCTGTATCACAGCCAAGAGCCTGCTTCTCCTGCCAAGCAGGACCCAAGCCTGGGGGCTGCAGGAGCTGAGAAAGTGCTGTGTCCTTCCATGGATGAAAAAGGATGGACAGTGTCCCGAAGGAGGACACTGCAGCCCTGCCTAAACGTGGGGCAGGCAACATCATAGCAAGTCAAAGTGCCATCGACCCTCTAGAGAGATATGGGGGTCATCTTACCTCCCTTGGGATGTGCTCACCCAAAGCCACGCAACCTGGCAGGGAGGGCTTTGCGCCAACCTTGGGCTCGTGTGAATGACCAACACGCTGAGAAGCAGCAGGACTGAGCCGTGCTGCCTGGGGAAGGGGATTTCGGGGGAAATGGCTGT